TGTGGGGCCGGCCGGCTGGCTGGCTGGCTGGCCAGCCGGCTCCGGGGAGGCAGCGGCGGCGGCGAGGCCCGGCTTCCTCCCCCCCGTCGCCCGCCAGCCCGCCAGCTGGTCCGAGGCGGCGGCGGCGGCAGCGGCGTTGCAGAGCGTCTCCTGCGCATGCGCAGGAGACGCTCTTGCACTTTCGGGGGGATTTAAACATCCCCCCGAAATTTTTTTTAACTTTTTGCATTTTTGTGCACACGTGGGGACTGGCCCACGTGTGCACAAACCTCCCCCTCCCCCCCACCTGCCCCCTCCGTGCTGATTTAGCGATCCGCACGGAGGGGGCAAGTTGGCTATTAGATATATAGATAGATATAAAGGAGTCCCATGGCATGACATGAGAAATTGGGGTTACCCAATAAAATCAGATTAAGGACTGGCATAATTATTGGCACTGGTTTAGGTGGCTTTAAGATGATTAGACACATTCCTGGAAGGTAGTGCTGTCAACAGAATACTGCTAAACGGAACCTCCATGTTTAGAGGTAGTGTACCTCTCAATACCACAGTGCCAGGGAAGGCGAAGCAATGAGAGAAGGTTGTTCCCTTGATTATCTATTGACAATTTGTCCTGGAAACATCTGACTGGTTTGCTGTTGAAAATAGCATCTGTATGCCATTAATCCTCTATCTGCTGATTCTTGCGTTCTGACTACCATAACTGCACCTTTAGAAAAGCCCATGACCTACTTACAAGTGTTTCTGGGGAGCAACAAGAGGTGACCTAATTCAATAAAGTAGCCAAACTTTCACAGGATTTACACTTTGAACTACTGTTAGTTAAGTTTCAAGCCTAGAATACAGAAATATTGCTAATTGTTACAGTGACATTTAATAAGTGTGCTTCGTTTTGTGATACATTCCTCTATGTGTAGTATGGGAAATTCCACTGTTCGGATTATGCCCACACCCTAAACAATGTCACAAGTCAAAGTGATTTATTTAAATATTAGGCTACATGCCTTGGTGCCAGTGCTTCTTCTACTGCAAGAAGGTTAGGAGGACATGGTCACACCCACTTCTCCCTCCTCATACCTACCAGGGTAATCCCTATTCAATTAAAATACAATCCAATTAATAGCTTCCTAATGTGCAGAGTGGCCTTTTTAAGGGATAATATGAAACTCCCACCCTTTCTTCACTTACCCTCTTGGTGGTAGTTAAATTAATGGTGTTAAGCATCTGGTCACCCGGCCAGAATGACTCCATTCTACCAACCAACTTTAGCATTATTCTTCCCCCTGCTCACCCCTCCAGTAAATAAATAAAGCAGATAACCTGCACAGTAGCAGGATTCTGGCCAGCTGGCTGAAGGACTGGCTGGCAGGATACCTGTGCACTTGTCAAGAAGTGAGAATTTAAATGGAACCAGAGGCATAAAGCAAAAAAATAAATGGGATCCAAGTATGGGATTTGGAACTAACTGGCTACATTAATAATGCATCTATCATATTTATGGTTTTCTGACTATCAAAGTACATCCTTCACTCTTTTGTCTTCCAGTTCTATAAGGAGAAACAGGGTATTTCTTTTGCAAAACAGAAGCAGTTCAACAAATCCAAAAACAAGAAGAGTGTATGCATAACTTCACTACAAATACATGCACTACAATAAATTAGATTACACCCAAACACATTTACTGTGCTTGTATAACGTGCATACAGAACAAAAGTACAGATACCCACTTTACACATAAAAAGTCCATGCCCTGATGATATATTGTCCTTTTCACTAGAAGTGTGCACATGGATGGTTTGCTGGGATTTTTCCACTCTTTAAAAAATGTCCTGTTACAGTACCTTGGTTTGCCAATTAAAGTGAAGGATTTAAGCTGACACAGATCATAAATACATTTAAGCCAATTACCACTGTGATTGCAAACACATTTGCTTGCAAGTTTTATTGAGTTCACTTCCAAGGTAGTATGGGAGACGACCATAACCTTTAACCTCAATCCTAAATGCATCTGTCCCAATTTAAAAAAACTGTTATCTGTGTAAAGAAGCACTTCCACACAGCACTCCAGCAAATGTATTCACAAAGATGTTTACATGCAGCTTCTCAAGCACAGACAGCTCCTGTGGATGAGCCACAAAGTCACACCCACTGTGAAGACACAAATCAAATTTGCTTCAAATGACTTATATTATCATTTTAGGATCAGGGTGCCATTCTTGCTGTCAATTAAATCAGCTAGAATCCTAGTTGCTCTAGTCAGAAGTGCAAGAGAGAATTCCTTCCTCCAACACAAACCCCACCAAAATCAAACAATTCAAACTACTGCACATTTCTCTCAAAACATGAACAACTTCAACAATTAAGATGAAGAACACCAAACAGGAGTGCCATAAAGTACAAGGGGAAAATGATTCTGTAAATATGTTCTCGTAAATACTCATCCTTAAGTCCACAACCTGTTTGTGCAAAAAAGCCACTATGCCATTACTACTCGGCTATGCTATGCTACTCTACTTACCTCAATGTATGGTACAATTTTGCAGGAGAAATCCTCCAGCAGCCACTTCTTGGTGAGTTCTTGAAAGATCACCAAAGGCAAACAGAAGAAGATGATGAGGAAATCCCAAAAGGCCAAGTTGGCCAGTAACGAATTTGAGATGCTCCTCATGTAGTAGTTGTGGCACACGATACACATTACTGCCATGTTTCCCATTATCCCAATGCCAAAGATCACAATTGACAGGCACATGACTGCATAGGCACCATAAGATTCCTCAGTCAGGGGGTAGAAGGGGTTCTTGACTAAAGATGGTCGGAACGTTCCATTCCTGTGGGTACCAGCACTCCTCTCTCCCATGTGAGAACCATTCAAGGGCAGCAGCAGGGGAATATTTCTCTCTGCCTCTCTGTTCAGCGAGTTATTGTCATTTCTTAGAAAGTGGCTGTTCTTGAAAACTTTGACTTTTCCAGCTCCTCCTCTGTCCAGGGGATCATCAGCTCCCCGTTTACTTCTAATATGCCTCTTGAGGCTAATCCTTGTGGCTCCTCTTCTGCTTTCCTTCCCCTGTACTTCATCCTTAGGGAGACCAGTCCCCAAGGCTACAAAGTAGTCTTTGTTCAATCGGTTTTCACCCTGTTCTTTCAAAGGGCCACCAGACCATTCAGTTGGTTTCAGAGCATGAGAACCAGGAGGGGCAAGTTGTTCAACAGTCCAGTCATTGGGATCGCCATAATCCACCAGTGGAACCCATTCCTCTGGAGCTCTTGCTGTGGCCTTGGATCCACCTATCTGGCTTTTGCGCAAGGAAGCCAGGGAGATGCTCCCTAATGGGAATCCCATAATGGTCCAGATCTCCTCTTGCTTGGGTGTCCCTTGCTGAGACATTGCAAGAGCCACTTGACACCAAGATCCGCACTCTCTGTTCTTGCTCCTGACATCTGATGGCCACTCCACTCCATCCCTTTTCAAAGGTGGCTGAAACAATGCTACTTTGGCAACGGCAGAGAGAGCACCCAGAAGCCAAGCCAAGGCAAAGCGAGTCTGGAATGGGTGCATGCTTAGGAAGGGGGGGGGCTCCCAGGCTCCTTCAGAAACAGCTGTTGCCCAGCCTGAAGGAGTTGTCCGTTGCACACATTTCTCCCATAAGGCGACCCCAAAGCAAGCTGATCCGGCGAACAGTCGGGCAATTGCCCGCGGTCAGTCTTCAAGTTCTAGCCATGTCTCCAGCAAACGTATCCAAGATTTGGAGAATAAGCGGCAAAGCTCACAGCGGGGGGGAGAAAATCACGAGAAGAAGAATCCTCCCGTCTTGGCCAGGCGCGATTGTTCTCCTCAAGCCACGACGGCCTCTGGGGGACAGACCTTGAAAAAGTTGCAGCAACCTGCGTCTCCGACGATGAATGTAGCAAGTAGAAACGGTGCCGGCTGCCGAGCGCGCGCGCGCGCACACACACATTACCCTCCGCTTCGCCTTCCGCGGCCAGCGCTCCGCCTTTCCCAGCGACGGTTGCCTTGGGGCTCGCCCGCTTTGCATCCTTTGGAGAATGCCATTAGCCGGTTGCCTGCTTGCCTGGGGCGAAGGCGAGGCGAAGGGGCCCCATTGCCAGCTCCTCGCCCCAACTGCAGGCAGCGCGCAGGAAACAGGTGGCCCCCTGCAAGCCAGGCGCTTGAGAAATGCAAGGAGGGCCGGCCGGGAAATAGAATCCACCTCTGCCTGAGAGGCAGGACGAGGCGCGGGTGCGGGGGGAGAGCGGTTTCCTTAGTAGCCCAGCTGGCTGCAAAGTTGCTTCTGGCACCAGCAGCTGCAAGTTCGGGCGGGGGGGCGTAGGAGAGAGCCCTCCCTGCAAACAACGTGTTGCGGTCTCCTTGTTTCCCACCTAACCTACAGCAGCCTCAATGGAAAGCGCTGAGCAGCCAGCCAGGGATGGGTGTGTGTGTGTGAGAAAGGAGAGCCGTGCTGCTCGTGTACGAGCCTGGAAGGGCACCGCTGCTCTGCTTTCCCTCTTGCCTTGCCTCCGCGCTCCAGACGTTGGCAAACGGCTTCCCTCTGGCGGCTTCAGCCCTCATGCAACATCCACTCACGCCGTGTGGCGGTTTCTAGTCGGGAGAGGGAAGGGGCCTCCATCGCGCACGCGCCACTCTCCCGTTCGGGAGGGAGGGGGGTCTCAGGAGCTGCGGCGCTTGCCCCAGATGTCGAGCGGCGGCAAGCAGGGAAAGGTGGAGCACGGCTGGGGGACGGGAGTCACCGCGCTGTGGTCCCTCGGGGAACCAAACGCCCTTTGCTTGCTGTCAGGTGGGAGGAGCGAGCAAGCCCAAGAGGCGCAGGGGGCAAGTGCAGGGCGTCGTTATTTGTGCCCAGATGCAGCGGGACTGGAATTTGGGATTTGCCATGCTAGGATAGTCAGTCCTGCAAGTATGTGGAGCCCAAGTCTTCACGGTGACCTGAACAACTGTATTTTTATCAAGCAGAAAAGTTGCTTCCTACCCCACATCCCTGCATCTCATTTTACCTCACAGCTGTTGTTCTTTGTCCAGCCATGTCACTTTCCTATCCTGGTGCTGCTACCCTAGCTTTTTAAAATTAGCATTTATTTCACTGCCCTTGTTCTCCTGCAAGGATTCTTACTAATTCTATTTTAGTACATTTTTATTCCTGCTCTTCTACCAGGGAGCTCAAACCAGCATATCTGTTCCCCCTTTCTTCTATTTTATCCTTACCCTGTGAGGTAGGTGAGGCTGAGAGAAAAAGTGATTGTCCTAAGAACTTTATGACTGGGAATTTGAGCCCAGATCTTCCAGGGCCTATTGTGGCACTTCAATCAGTACATTGCCAGTTTGGTGTAGTGGGTAAGTGTGTGGACTCCAGTCTGGGAGAGCTGGGTTTGATTCCCCACTCCTCCACTTGCATCTGCTGATGTGACCTTGGGTCATTCACAAGTTCTGGCACAGCTGTCCTTGAAAAAGAGCAGTTTCTGTCAGAATTCTCTCAACCCCGCCTACTTCACAGGATGTCTGTTGTGGGGAGGGGAAGGGAAAGGAGTTTGTATGCCGCTCTGAGACTCTAAGAGAAGGGCGGGGTATAAATCCGATCTCTTCTTCTACATGACACTAGTTTTGATATTTCATCTTTATCTCTCATCTTCATCTTTATATTTCATCTTTTCCCCCATTACTGTCCAGTTGAGTTGACCAGAGACTAATAAACATGCAGCACCATCCTCTGCCTATTGATTCATAGGCAAGTCCTATTGAAAGAGCAAGTTTGGTGTAGTGGTTAAGTGCGCGGACTCTAATCTGGGAGAACCGGGTTTGATTCCCCACTCCTCCACTTGCACCTGGCTGGATGACCTTGGGCAAGCCGTAGTTCTGATAAGAGCTGTTCTTGAAAAAGAGCAGTTTCTGTCAAGAGCTCTCTCAGCCCCACCTACCTCACAGGGTGTCTGTTGTGGGGAGGGGAAGGGAAAGGAATTTATAAGCTGCTCTGAGACACCTTTGGGTAGTGAAGGGCAGGGTATAAATCCAATCTCTTCTTCTTAAATGGGATTTACTCCCAAGTAAGCCTGAAATAGGCTCAGCTGCAGTCCAGGGCATACTTAATTGATAACAATTATGTCTCATGGATTTGGTCTATATACTAAACTTTCCTAGATGTTTCAATGCATTCAGTGGATAGCTCTGACTTTTTAAATGCATGATAAAAAAAGCATGCTTGCTTTGCAAGTCGTTCCTAACAAATATCCTTTTGGCAGGACCATATCATTTCTTCCCTACCATCAACACTGTATGCTCACAGAATTTTATCCATCCGTCTAATTCCCTGGGCTACACAGCTCCAAACGCTGAAATGTTGCACTAGCAATGCAAGACTCATAGACTGCAGCATCACCCCCAGGTGCTATGTTAACCCAGAAGTGCCATTTCCAGTTGTTATCATGGCCGTGTTTTGTCTATAGAATAGAACCCATGGTTAGGCTGCAGCAGAGAACCTAAACTATAGACAAGATAAACACAAAAGAACTTAG